CAACTGTGTTTAAAGTCATTTGAAGGTGAAGGTTTCTCAATACCATACCACTCTCACTATTCAGGAGTTGTACAGTTGTTGAAGGAACATAATGGAAACAAATAAAAGGCTAAGTAGACAATCTGAAGGAAAATAGTTTTAGAGACACACAATACACTCCTATGTCATGCAGACAAAGAAGAATTATGAAACTAATATGTCTTTTTCTTGTGTAGTCGTTGGTTACGAAAGTCTTGAATAAAATGTTTTTCTACCTGTATTCGTAATGTGACTTCATTTACATTCTTAGGTCATCCTTCTAACCTATGTTAAGAACTGTTTTCTCCATTGTATTAACTGCTGCACTCCTCGAATGTTAAAAGGATGGTGGAAACAAGTAAAAAATGATAATTTGAAGTCGTATTAATCGTTCTTTTTATCATTGAACTGTGTATTTCTTAGGAGGTACCCGTTGCGGGAGGCTCACCAATTCCGACAGAACTGCCCGTATGCCCTCCGAACGCCATCTGGCAAATGTCGAGCGTTAGCCTGGCGGTCCAATCTCCAGGCTGTGTCCAATTCTCAATTCACGAGAGGCCGCAAAATCGGGTGCAAGAGACGACTGGAACTGATAACTCCGTGGTCCCTCCTTTACCCACCGCTGCCACTGTCAACAAATGTGGGTCTGTTGATTCGGACAGTGGATTACCTTTAAGGGGAATCTTGAAACAGCGGTCGACGTCTGGTATGTAAACGGTTTTGATTGAATAACATTTAAATGCTCATTTTTTGCACGACTTTATAATATAATTGAATCTATAATTAGCAGTATAGGTAGTAATGACTTGCAATTAAGTGCTGACGAAAATGAGTCGATTTGGATTGCAAGTTTAAAGTATGTTATTTCGAGTAATTTTATTGCCAAAAACTGAGCTCTTTTGCCCAAGAGATGCAGAAACTAGGTTCAGTAATTATGCTGCGTCAAGATGTTAGGTTCCTGAGGTAATGTTTCGTTTTTCAGCGATAATCGCGGATCATCAAAATTGGGACTGCATTGCTGCAATCTTCCCTAAAAGCACCACATTTACTCGTTTCGGTCGTACTGTTCTCTCTGTCCCCCTCCCCCAAGCGTAGGCTAAGCGTTTCCGATTCATTTTCGTTTCAATGAATTTTTACAATATTTGAATTCGGACGTTGGATATTGTCACCTGCGGACACGAACCTCAAACGGATTGCATAAGGTCCATTTTGTCGGAGGGCAGCACATCAGTGGTGTCGTGTTGACGTCATCCATTAAGATGAATGCCGTTCTTGGTAATGTTAACTTATACACGGGTTCTTCTTCAGCTACCTTCATAAAATTGTCCTATTTTTTCACACTTTTGGATTTCATGGAAGTAAAAAACGTACTTCCGTGTCACTTCATGGGAACTGTCTATT